TCTACTGCCGGCCCCTTACCGGGAAGATAAAGCAGCCCCAGGGCTCGTTTGTCCAAAATGTTTATGTAATGTGAAAAACAAACCCAGAAGCCATAATAAGGGAGGAGGCTGGCTTCTCTCCCGTAAAGAGTAACCACCTACCCAGCTCTACACTAGCCATGCTATATACAGTTTAATGAACCCAGCCCTCAAATCATTAATCCCACAGAGAACACAGGGGCATTGAAAGCACCCCAGTGAGAAAGGGACTTTTCCCTCAATCTCATTTCATTTTATAAAATCGTTAAAGCTCTTTTACAGCCGCCACATCCCACTGTGTGTGTTTGATGTAAGGAACTAGGCAAGTTTAGCTCACTGCCACCAGAATGGGCAATCCTGCTCCTCCTTGTCCAAATGGTCCCCTCCCTCCCCTGTTCCTGGGTGGTATTTGAATATGCCTGACAGAGGGAAGGTGGCAGCAGTTCCAGAGCAATCCCACTGCCTCCCAAAAATCACCATTGGTAACCCACAGACTGAAAACTCATGTTTTTGTTCATACACAAGCAGAAAAGGGGATGGCACCTAGAAGAGAAAACCAAACAAACCACCCATACAAAACTGCCCCTGAACGCCACACACATTTCCTCAGGTGGATACACAGGCAAATGTAGAGACACTCAGGCCTAGGGGCTGTTGAGATGTACTGCACAAGAAATAAGGAAGCTGGGATGGGATAATCTTCCTGAGAAAAGAAATGCAGGCCTGTAAGCCTTGAACCACGACAGCCACTACACAAGCGTTAACTCAGTGTTTAAAAGCATGTATGCCCAGCTGTATATTGTGTATTTACAAGGAATTCAGAAAGCCCAGCCACCTGCCCCAGTTCCTCTGTTTCTACCAGGAAAAAAGTGTGCCTATGCTCACATAAGGCTCCTAAGGGGTTCAGGAGTCCAGATTAAAAAACCACAGTGATTTCTTAAGGAATAGAAATCTCAAACCATGTCTGGAAAGAAAATAATCTGTTCAGCAACAGAACTGACAGACATGATTCACTGAAAACTCATCAAAACCATTTAATTTCCTCCCTTCCCAAACTCCTCTTATTAGAAAGGTATTTCTTTTTAAAGAAAAATAAGATAATATATTAATATTAATCTAACTATTCTATTTACAGAACACAGTTACTGAGACAGTGTTTAATACAACACTCATCTACTTCAGTCTTCCAGTCTAGTTTGCTCACACCCCGTCCGTCTTCCACATGCAGGTAATGTTTTAGGATTATGTTTCATATGAGAAAAAGTTAATTTTGGCAGGCTGTCTGAATTCCAGGAAGGCTACCCCATATCTAGTCCTGCTGACTGCTTTCCAATGCGGTCAGGACTACCTAATTCTGACATCCATGTAGTAACTGTCAGTACAGACTAAACATCCAAAACTCGTAGGTTAAATTAACATGCTGGCCACCAGGATGTTCAATAAAAGGGTGTTGATAATTCTCTTAAGAAACCTAGGTCTAAAGTGTAATAACATCTCTTCAGAGGTTAGTTCAAGCCATGGTTCCAAGTGCTAGCATGCCCATTCTTCTAAAAACAGCTGTCATTGGCTGCACCAAAATATCACAAAATTTTTGTAGCTTACAAAGCAAGAATCAACATTACTGTAAAATTGCCACCAGGAAAATATATGAATAAGGAAAGTACAGTAAGGAATTATGGACAAGAAAGCAGGACAGAAACAGGAAGTAAGAATGCAAGTAATTATATATATGCATTACTGCCAATTTGCAGAGAAAGTAGGGTCAAAAAAATCCCAACTTCTCATATTACTGTAGATTTTAAAAATGCTCCATGTGTGACAACACTTTACCATATAAAGAACAAGTCTAGGATTCTGATATTTAAGTGCTGGGCTACTTGCAACTACAAGCCAGTGTAGGTAAGACACTTGGTATTCCTTTTCATCACTCCGGCCTTGTCTGCTGCGCCAAAGGGAGCGGGAAGATCTTGTAAATTAAGTTAATCAAAGCAAAGACAAGATAAACTAGCTTTTTGCACAAGTTTTTATGTTCAGCTAAAGAACATAGGTTCTCTCTACAGAGAGAAAAGGCTTTACCTTTCTCAATATGGGTGAAAAATAATTTGCCTTGATCTACCCCTAGTTAATTATGAATGGCCTTTTCTTGGATACACAAAGGACCTGGCCCTTCTACAGGTATACGAGAAGCCATTTAAATCAGCCCTCCAAAAGGCAAGATTGCCAATATGACACATTTCACCTCTAGTTTAATTAAAAAGTATTTCAGAGAATCAGAATAAGAACTATGAGTTCTCAAGACAGAGAAGATTTGCCCCTGGCAAAGGCCATGTAAAATATGTAGAAAGAAAATATTTTGCCTAAGTCAGAAAAGGAACTTAAGAAAAAAAATCATGTTTTCCCTGTATTTAATAATGATTTGGTAGTATTAGAGACCAAAACCAAAGCAAAATCCCTGAACAAGGAACAATCAGAGCAAATCACTTGCTTTTCCGTCTCTAATCCTCATAACATCTCTAACTCCAAAGGCAGAGTACTAGAAAAATCACAATGGCAAGCCCTTCATGCAGCATGAACTCTTAGTGTGGTCTTCTCTGTCACAGAAGTGCCTAAAATAGCTTGAGGCAATTACGTGAATACTCTTCTCCCTTGCAGCGAAACAGTAGAAGCCCTCTCCCTTCAACACCATAGGGTTGATGCTTATGAGACTTCATGCTTTATGTGTGCAGTCCTCTGCTTGTGCAGGAGTGAATGCAGTCCTGATATGACTGGGTTCAGAGAAAGACAGCTGAAGTCATGCTGCTCTTCAGTTACATGAGGAAGGAAAAATGTAGCTCCACAGTAAATTCTCCATTGGGAAATTTTTCATACAAAAACTTTTTAACTACATCAAAGTTTTATTTCATAAGGTAGAGACAGTTCAAGCCAAGTCTCATCATATAAACTATAATCCAGGGAGACAGTGATATGGTAGGTAGAATGGCATTTCTTAATTAGCTATACGCAGTCTCCACAATCACTGCGCACAGTAAGAACAAGATCCGAGGTGCAGAAATGCTCCACTTTTAGGGGGGTGGCCCCTAATGTGATCTAGAGCAATACTTGGGATAACGCAGAATCATAGCTATCTGCTGTAAGTACACTTGTAAGGTACAAAAATAGTTTCCCTAAGGAAACCAGAAACCTCTACACACAAGCGTACTAGTGCTACACTTACACCTTCCCTTCCATCTCTAAAAAGCCAAAGCAAGTGATACCTAAAGAGGTTGTTGGTCAAAGCCCCTGAGCTTAATTGCGTTGGAGAGAAAAGATTAAAGTAAGTTTAATTCCTGAACGTGCCTGCAACTCAATAAGGTATTTATATGGGGGAGGGGGGGGAAGAAAGAAAGAAAGAAGTCACTACTGTCAGTATTTTAAAACATTATAAGAGGCATTTGACCTTAATTTTGTAAACTGAATGACTGAATTCTCAGTTATTTCAGTATCTAGTTCTTGATTCATGATTAAGCTTGGGAATGCATGCAGCGAGTTTACTTCTGGGCTCATACAAAGAGCTATTTTTCAGCATGCAATGGCTTAGTAACTCAACTCTTAACATTTGTACCAAGGCAGTAGCCAGATACTGATCCCACCACACTTAGAACCCTCCCCCAACCCCACCACTTATTGTATGTCAGCTTTATGTTATTGGCTTAGCTCTATTAAACTTTTATGGATTACAGAGGTAAGACAATTCCTATTGCAGATTGAAAGTTTTTTCTTTCAGTCACTTTGACCACATACCACCTACCACACTATAATCCCTGAATTTATGGTTTCTTTGCTTGAAGCCAGTTAATATAGAAGTTACAGGGAAAACCACTGTGATATGAAAGGTGCATCTTTCATATTCGTAGATTGGAAGAAATTCAGAAAATTTCTTTCAGTCCTGACAGTTGTTCCAAAAGATGTATCTGCTTTTTCTACGGAATATCCATTATTCCCATTTTTTACTAATTGCCTTACAATAAACCTTTTTTGCAGGTGAAGTGTATGGTATTATCTTAATTTGTACAGCTAATTCTGCTAACAATTATAATTTACACATCCCCAAGCACCCTGTGCTAAATTTAGTTTCATGATGAACAAGTAAAATTCACATGGTCTTTATTTGTCCATATAATACACCATTTTTTTTATAAGTTCTAAAATTAGATAAAAGCATATTAAATGGCAGGTGTATGAAGTTCTTCGGAAACAATGCCAGAACAAAAAATTGAATTACAAAATGTTAAAAAATGTAGGTACATTTGAACTTAACATTTCACTAATGCATAATGTTACAGATACTGTGTAATGAAAAATAATTGTGCCACTTACCTATTTTTGCTGTTTCTAGGAACTTTTTATTCTGTACATAGGACGATTCTGTACAAAATATGAAGTCTACATTTTTATTACTTATTACCATAAAACAAGGTACAATGTATGTACAATATTAAAATGAAGCCATACTAAAGCCACACTAAAAAGACACTTGTAATATTACTTTTGACATTCCTGATGTACAGGTGTAATTTTGGAAAACTGGGGAAGGTTTCAGACAGACCTTTATGAAGAAAAACAATCACCAAAATTCTACTTTAATTTTGCTTTTTATTTTGGATGTTTTAGTTTTAGAATGGTTTTGTACAGGATTATTAGAACTTTATAAATATTGATAATAAACATGCTAACCCACTAGTGGTGACAGATTTTGGAATATTGTTAAGCAAATTTCAGTAGCCCAAAACTTCAAATATGACTTCATGATGAAATTTAAGCTTTTAAAAAAACCGTAATATTTCCCTTTTGGTGAGTGTTTATCTTCAATAAAGAACAAAAATAAAATCTAGACAGTGAAAGATGTTCTTATACGTTGAGCATCACACAATCAATCAAACATTGATATACTTTTTTTTTTTTTTTTGCTCCTTTGGGTAACATAATTCCTTTCAGCAACCTCTTGCACAAACATACACCCAAAATCAAAGGTAACTGATAATCTACCAGCTAAAGATGGAAGTTCAAACAATGGTATATCAAAATACACTGACATTGCTTTACACAATTAAAAAAGCACCCTTTTTCCCTCAAAAGGAGAAGGCATCTTTAAACTGTTTTAATATAGTTTATCCTAATGGTAAAGCATATTCTTTTTCAAGTTTTACAGGAAATGTTTTTAGACACAGTGGACGTTCCACTTAAAAGTTGGGTTGGTCTTTAAATTTAGGTGTTTTAAGCCAATAATTACCACCCTCAATTGTCTTCCAATAGACAACATGACAAATACCAGAATTTGAATGTTAAATGCAACCAACAAACAGCAGGCACTACATATGCACAAGGTTACTACAAATGTCTGCTTTGCGCATTTTTTTTTGAATGGATGCAGGAGACATTATACTTCCTTAAAAAGTAAAACAAAACTGTTTTTAAAGAAGCTGCGTTTTTATCTCTTTATGCATCAAGACATTAAACATTAAGTTATATCATGTTACTGCCAGAGACAAAAGAAACTAATCACCCATTTAGAATAGCAGAACACATTTCAAACAGCTTGTAAGCAGGATAAGTAAGTCAAAATACTGGCCACCCTGAGAGAAATCAAATATTGAAGACAAAGCACTATATTTTTTAGAGATTTTCCTCCCGTGCTTTCCCATCTACAACAAAAAGCTCATTACATGCAAGTAATCTTGTGGAATATATAGCAGCATTTGAAGATCATCAGCAACTCAGATGCATTTTCAGTTCACTTGTGAGGTGTATTTGCAGCACATGTGCTCTTTACAACAACAACAAAAAAATATTTTCACTGTAAAATTATGGTCACTATCTCCTCAGCTCTTAGACTCATTTGAAAAGAAGCAGAATGGAATTCAAGGGTCTGTTCTTTTTCTTATTTAATAAGCTTGTGATGTTGTGTTTCCTGAAAGGTTATGTTCATCTTTCAGATAAAAACTGATGCAACTGAAATCACGCGTAGTATCTGCCACAGAATATTGAACTCCTAGAGCCCAAGAAAAACGCTGAGTATTAAAAGCTCAGATAAGGGAGAAAACAGTGAAAGAGTACTTTATTGACTTGAAAAAACTTAAAATGAAATTTTATATTCAGTCTTTTCCCAGTCATAGTAAACAAATTTTAATTTTAGGAAAAATTCTTCTACCAGTTCATATCTTGAATACTGGTGCCGTAATATACACTAAAGACTGGGAAATATGGCTTTAAATATACATAAAGTATTAGGACATGGTATATATAGATATATATATTTATCCTAAGTAAATGAGAAATAAATTTACAGAATTCTTAGAAAGGAATGATGATTGAGGATTGTCATGAAAGTTACCAGTTTGTAAGCCATGTTTTATAGTACGAAAGAATAACTGTGTATTTTCAAAACTGCTGGTATATTGCAAGACAGCAACAATGTGGCGACAACTGTAAAGTTCAGAAATCCTAGAAAAAGTTTAATACTTAAATTTGAAATAATTTTACTTTTTGAAAACACACATTTATCATTAGTACCAACTATTGGTCATTCACTTAGATGGAAAGAGTTCATAGAATGCTTTTCTCAAATATGACTATAAAAACTGCATGATATCAGCTAGCTGGTGCTATAACACCACCTCCAGGAAATTGCGTCCACTTGATTATAGTCAACCCAATATTCTGCATGTGGAATTAAGTAATTTACCATTGTTTGAACTACTAATCTTGAGCTGCATACTCTATTATTGCCTACAGAACTGGGTTGAAGAAAGCTTTGACTTTGTGTGTAACTGATTGGTATGGCACAAGAAAGTAAGTTCTACTGTAGAACTGAGTCCAGAAAAAAAACAACTTTTCCTCCAAAATAATATTTCACTGTAATAGTTTAATGCCCATCATGTGATATTAATTCATCAGCTCTGCAATGTGATTCCAAGGCTTTCATGGTATAGATATCCTGAGGCAGTTCTGACTTGCGTCGCACAAGCGGACGATCTTTTTTCTGATCTTTCTGTGCCTGAAATAAAAATAGAAGAAAGTTGGCTAAAAATATTAATTAATAAATAGTTAAAGTATTTCTTGCACATCAGTAGGCTCATTTATAGGAAAAATAATTAAAAAAAAAAAAAAAAAAAAAGGCACGAGAAAAAAATGTATATCTTCTCCTCTTTACCCCACTAGTTACCCAGTTTCAAGTCCTAAACCTATTTTTTTGCTGAGAGGCAATATTAGAAACAAGTAAGAAATTCTAAGCTATTAGCCATCTTGGCATTACTACCATGCTTATCACTTGATAACATTTTGAAAAATAAAATTATCATCTCACTTATTTTTCATTTTGTCTCTACACTTAAGATAAATGATTTTTTTCCCATTCTTCTAATTACTTGCCCTATTCATATATCTGAAAATTTAAGCTTCTGCTCTATTATTTTACTGATGCTCTCTCAAAGCCAGACCGTACTGCTAACAAAGTATCTTTAAACTATGTAATGGTGTCTTTATATACTTCCCGCGTCTCACCGTAATTTGCCTTTAGATCATAGAATAGTTAGTAGGGTTGGAAAAGATCTAAAGATCATCACGCCAGGCCAATGATGTTTATTCATCTTCTATAAAAAAGTCCTTATAAAAACTGATTGGCTTTTACTTAGCCATTGATTTACTAGCATGTTCAAAAAGTTAGTAAGTCATGGTAGTCAAATTTTATTGTAGCAGAGTATACCCTAAAAACTCTCACACAGTCTGGTACAGAAAAAAATAATCCTGGTGTGTTTTTCTCAGTCATTGCATCACCTCTTCAGTACGGACATTCTGCTACATTGCTAACCTCTGGCATAAACCTTACTTTCACTGCAACTGTATTGATCTTTACACAGCTCCTCACTTCTGAAGTTTTATTTAAAAAATAAACTAAGCTGTCATTTTGACTGGCTCCTCACCCCTCATAACTGCAGTATTTCTTATTTTGGCATCAGTTTGTAATGGTACTTAGCCAGGGGTTCATAACTGTCTTTCCAGTGTCCTCTCAGACTAATGCAAGAATGCTTAGCTTGCTTGCTTTCTGCAATACCCTAATCCTTAATCAATCCTTTTCTTTACTTGTGATCCAGACTTAACCAAATCAAGCTCATCCATTAGGAATGCAATGCATACATCCTCCATCTGAAACACTACAGCTCCAACATCATAGCTCTGAACTTGAATTCTTTGTAGAAAAGAAGTCAAGACCTAGGTGGAGTTCTTAGTATTAGTTTGGGCTGCCATTACTCTTTGCACATTTTGTATTGTATAACACTGACCCAAATCTCCAAACACTTCAGCAGCTGGGACTGGTTTGTTCTTAACTGTTTCTCCCAACTACTAGTATATGTCACACTTCGGCTGATTTTCTTCTAGAACTAATGTTAGAGCACTCAGACTTAGCAGGTACAAGCTTTCATTCCCTCTGGCCAGGACAGAAATTGAACCTAGGTCTGCTACATCTTCAGAAAATCATTAGGGCCTAGGACATAGCATAGTAAAAGATGGACACTACCATTAACACAACTCTAAGATTAAGCAGTTCTTTTTTTTTTTTTTCCCGATAATCTTGTACACACTTTCCTCCACTAGAACTGGTTCTAGGCTCTGGAGATGTGAAAGGAGGACCCTCTCCCCATCACACGGGGCCTACCTAAGCTATCAAAGGTCTGAAAAAAGGCAGAGGTTTAGAAATTTATTAAGCTCAGTACTCCTCACTGACTAGCTCTAACAGCATTTCCATTAAGGGGAATGCTATCCTCATTCACTGCTCTCAACAGGCATGTAATTCAGTCACCAAGAATTACATGTAATGCATAGGGGTTCCACTCCAGAGACAAGTGCTTAAAAACCAGCAATCACTGAACATGTCTTGGATGCATTCCAGTATTTCTTTTGATGTCAGCCTTCATTCAAAATCCCACAGGACAAATATTAAATAATCTTGCAGGGCAATGACACTGGAGTTTTAAGAAGGTAACCTAGAAGGTTAGGTTGAAAATATGCTTATTTTTATTAAATTTGTTTGATATATTGGTTCAAATTAAGAGACTATCTTTGATTTCAACCAGTTTTTCCACCTCCAGCTCATTTCTCTGGTCTTAAAACTTTGCTGGATTTACGGATATTCGTATTACTGATACTGCTACCACATACCCTGATACTGCGATGCTCCCCGGCACCTTTCTGTTTTCCATCAGCTCCAAGTTTAAATCTCTAGTTTGAATGTCAGCATTCTAGTTCTATTTAACTGAAGTTAAATTAAAAATACCTGAAGATTACTAAGCCTTAGCTAAAGATGAGAAGACTGGAATGACCTTGAGAGTCCAAGGACACTAGTAGGTAATGGAACATAACACATGGTAGACTGAGGAAGATGACCCATTCAGTGGACAAGACAAATGCATACTTTACATATTTTTCAAAACATAGTTGCTTTAGTCTCTAAGGCGGCTCTGAACAACAAACAAAAATGTCATCACTGGAATCTGACTATATACATTTATACATACATTTTCCTACAACACCCCCCCCAGCCTTATATAGGGAAGAGAACAGACTATGATGTTGTAGAGTTCAATTTTATTTTTAACTATCCTTAAAGTAAGATCATTGTTCCCATCATGACACAAAATGTTATTTCTAAGTGAAAAGAAAATGAAAATTTCTGTAGAAGAAATGTCAAAAAAGAGACCATACAGCAGATTCACAGGCATTAGAAATAAAACACTATTCCTGGCTTCTACGGTACCACTTAAAAGTGGCAGCTCTAAGGAACTTTATTACTCTAGGATAAAAGGTTATGGGGCTGTAAATAGAACATAGATTTATGGCTATGATTAACAGTCACTTGGAAAAAAAAAAATCATAATTTAGAGTACTTTGTTATCTTCACATGGCTTTACCTGACAAGCCTCTTCTTTCACTGTCTTTTTCAGCATCTGCAAATCTTCAATTAAAGGCCCATCTGTTTCCATTGCAACAGGACTGTTCAGCAAACTTGTGTCACTATATGTTGGGTACTAATAAAATGCAAAGTGTTAAAATAATCATTCTTAGTAGTAACACCTAAATAGTAAGAGTGTATTTCAGCATTTGAATGGTATGATTAGTTATTTGAGATTAGCTTCAATATCTTATGCTTCCGGGCACCAAGTTATAAATTTTAAAATGGAATTCCAATACTTTCACTTGGCAGAAACATCCTGTTGAAAAATACAGTCAGAACACACACACACAAAAATTATGCTTTGATTATGAGGTTGAATTTTAAAATATTCAGATGTTGCCAGTATTGAATATGCCTATTTTGGCAAACATTTGTCTGACATCTTATCAGTACATTGTCTAGTGATTGGTGAACAATGTAGCAACCCAAACACAATGATTTTACTTTCTGGTGCAGTTCCATGTTGGAAGAGAAAATACACTGTTGAAACACCAAATATGGTTAATATAAGTTTATAGTAATTTCAAAACAGAATATTAAACTTTTCTGTCTTGAGAAACAGCCTCTTGTATAGCATGTAAGCTTACTGTACAGCAAACTTCGTAATTTAGATGGTATTTTAACTCAGATGAAGTGTATGTGGTCTTGAAATCAAAATTAATTTAGAAACACACACACAATTTTTCATCCATTTTTTTCCTCATAATATGCTAGTATCTGAGTATAGCAATAACAATCCAGGTGAGAAAATAGAAAAAATTGATAGCAAGAATTTAGCAAATCCAATTACAATGATCTAAAAATCTTAAAATGTATTCTCATGCCATGCAGAGTCAGGAACAGCTCTGAACAGCAACTGTCAGTAATTAGACAAATTAAATTTCTAACAGAAATTCTAGGAAAAAAATTAAAACAATTCACAGAACCCTTAAAAAGCCATTATATAGAGTGCTAAAAGCATTTCTAACCTTATGCCAATTCAGTTCAAATTAATTATTTTTTTTAAAGGTATTTATTTAAAAATTTTAATTTTTTTTAAATGCTCCTCAAGCACACTATGCAGAACATACTTGTATACAGGTTGTGTTAATGAGTTTCAGAAAATGTAGTTACAAAAAATAACTTGGGAAGAAACTAATTTTTTATTGCAAGTCAATCCCCTTATTTAGCCAGACATGCAATAGTTTGTCATTTGCAATAGCAAATGACCACACATTTCAAGTTCTGTTCAAGCAAGGCTTTCATAGGGCTTATCTGATTAACAGAATGTTTTATCACTGGAAGTGCTACTTTCATATGAATCTTTTTTGATCAACTTAGCTCGTCTGTTGTCAGCTGACATTTTGTTTAACAAATTTTATTTCAGCATGTCCCTTGAGGGAAAAAAAAAAACCAAAAACATTCATGAAATTCCGCCTTCTTAGAAAAAAGATGACGCTATACTCTGTTTTAAAATAGCACTGAGATCATAAAGTGTCCCACTTCTGTATATAGAGTACTATTACTCCCTCTTCCACCTCTTGAATCTCAGCTAGATGATGTAAAGATACAGAACAGTAAGTTTCTTGCTGCGGTAAAGTAAAATTCTGGCTGCAAAGTAACTAAAATGCTTAGGGTCTTTTTGCCCGTAGCAGTAATCGGTATGACTGAGATAAAGGAAAACTGGCAGCATTCCCCAAGCAAAATAGGGAAAATATTCCCAACCAAAAATATAGCCCAAAACACCCAAGCCAAACCATCCCCCTCTCCCATAATCTCAAAATATAATGAATAGTATAAATTATCTTTGTTTCTATATCAAAATTTCAGTCACATTGAGTAATGTAGGTTATTTACTAAAAGGAAAAGTAAATTTTCCTTCGGGTAAGAACCTGAGGTGCAGGTTCACCAGAATACCGGCCCAATGCAAGTAGGAGAACAAATGCAGCAGACAAGAATGAACATTATTACTTTAATCCATTAGACACAGAGGAAAACTGACCAGTCATAACTCACAGTTTGCAGAAAGATCTCTTTTGTAATATATTGTTTGCAAAACAGCTTTTCAAGAGAAACCAATTATGGCATCTCTGTTTTCCTTAACTTTGCACAATAACTTTTCAAATCGCAATACAGTATCTCCTCTATACTCCTGTATACAATAATCTCCTAAGAAAAGGAAAAAGTACTTCATATCATACTTTTCAGAAACCTTCTTTTTTAAAAAACAATTACTTGCACAAGCAAAAGTTACAAATTTTAAAAAGTATTTTTATTGTATATATTTTCATAATACAATTAGTGAAATTGCTTTATTTCCATGATCAGCAAGACCTCTTTCCCCCACTGATATTTAACAAAACTAAGGTATTTGAACATGAACATGTTAATCTTTTCTAAATACCTGGGGATTTGATTTGGCTAGATTTTCTATTTTAACCCATGCTTCTTCCCGTTCCTTCAATTTTAGCTTCTCTCTGGGGGGGGGAAAAAAAAAAAAAAAAAAAACAGAAGCAAAAATAGCAAAAGCAGCTTGGTGAATTTTGTATCTCAACTTGGATACTTTCTTAAGCATGACGAAATTCACTGGAAATCAAGACAATAAATTATATTATTAAAGTGTTTTAGCTTACTGCCCAAAATACCACTTCCTATTGACAGGATAATTGGCATCATATCAATACCTCATGATTGCAAAAGAAAAAAAAAATCTCATAAAAAAAATAAGCTGATATCAGCCAGCTTGTTGCTTAAGGGGGCCTACAAGGATGCTGGGAAAGGACTCTTCATCAGGGACTGTAGTGATAGGACAAGGGGTAATGGCTTCAAACTTAAACAGGGGAAGTTTAGGTTAGATATAAGGAAGAAGTTCTTTACAGTGAGGGTGGTGAGGCACTGGAATGGGTTGCTCAACGAAGTTGTGAATGCTCCATTCCCTGGCGGTGTTTAAGGCCAGGTTGGACAGAGCCTTGGGTGACATGGTCTAGGGTGAGGTGTCCCTGCCCATGGCAGGGGGTTGGAACTAGATGATCTTAAGGGGTTCCAACCCTAACTATTCTATGATTAATAACTGTATGTTAAAAGACTTAAGATGAAAACAATTCTTGATCTATGTTGAAATTGTTTGGGTTTCAACTTTGTAGTATTTGAATTCTATATTGAAACATAGGAAACTAGTATCTCATCGTAAAAAAGGGCAGAGATTCTTACTGTCTGTCAGCCCAATGGCATAAGGTAATAGTTTAAAGGAAAAGGTCCAGAGACATCTTGAATTAACAAGTACCCACGTACAAACACTCATTCAAGGGAGTCCCAAGCCAAGAGGGATGACATGGGATGCCTGTTTTTCCTCCTCATTAAAGCAGGAAAGGTTTGTTTCTTTCTGCTTACTGTAGTTTAAAATGGTAAAATGTAGGGTTATGTTTTTAACTCTTTCTTTCTTACAGTTAAATAACTTACTGCAGAGACTAGAATGAACACCTGTCTTTGAAAGCTGGTAGAGTTTAAAAGGGCTTTGAGCTTAAGAGTGCTGAAAATGCTCTCAGGCTTCAATGCATAGAGCAGATGATCCAAATGTAAAAAACCCCAACTGGACAAAAAAAGCAGTTATATTCAAGCACATCCAAAATTTGCCCCCAAGTCTCAATTAAGTTCAGCTTAAGGGGAAGAACTCTTTAGCCCCCCCCCAAGTTCTTGTGTAGTAGGGGATATTTTTTGTTTGGTTTTGTTAGTACGTCACTCAGCACTCTGCCTGCCTTAGTTCACACCCAAAATGCCACCCAGAAAAGGTCCAAAAAACCAGAAGAAAAGTTTGCTTTCACATTTCAAAAGAATTCTACTTACTTGCTATGAGGGAAGAGACTTACATAGCATTTTTTAAAAAAGCAAATGTTCACATTTCGTTATCTATAAACACACACACACAACTTAGATACGAGCTCAATTCTACTTAAATTCTAATTATGAACTTCAAAACTTGGACAAATTAATCACCATTAAGAATTCGTACTACTTCCAGTATATTGGTTTAAAATGGGTGTGTAATTTGAGCCACTACTTTAAGGAATCCCTTTTCATTTTGAAATTAAAAATAGAATTCAAATCCAGGTATTTTCAGTACCCACTTTCTAACTATATTCCCCAGCCCCTAAGGTAAGAGTGAAACCATTAATACTTTTGACTTCCCAATCTCGCTTTAGTAGGCTTTATAATATACTGAATATTCAAAACACTATGTCTAAAAAAATTGGAAATGGAGGAACAGAAGTGACTTTATGATCAGAAAAGCTGCATTTGGGAGCATGAACCAGAAAAATTCTAGGTTCTAAATCCCTGCTCTGTTCACTGGCTTATGCAAGAATATACTAAACTCAGCAGGAGTCTTCTGGCAGGTAATGTACAAATGCCCTGTATTACAATAGACTAACAACTTTTTTTTGGGTAGTTTTTAGAAAAACATTCACATATGCTGAGACACAATGCAATCCTTTAAAATACTGGAAAAGTGTTTTGGGAAGAACTGAGCCACAGCATGAAAGAAAATAACACTGGGTAAATAAAGCATGCTAAAATAATCACAGGATGTAAACTAAACTATTTAATTAAACTCTTTTACGAGTACCCTCTCAAGAAAATTTATTTTTAGGAAGATTGTGACCCCCAGCATTATTAGGTCTAAGACTACATAAGGCATCCTACTGTTGAGGAGATTTTTCAGTTTCACCAAGTCGATTTTGGGACTGTTGTACTGCAATCGAATGGACAACTTCCCCGCTAAAGACACAGTAGTTTTTCAGAGATATAGAACAAATTATTCAAGAACAGACAGACACACTGACATGAAAACTTACTTCAGTTTTTCTGCTTTAAATTGCTGTGTGCAGTCATCGAACAGTTTTTGGTTCATCTCCATGAAGAGTTTCAGAGCATTGTATATCAAGCCATGTATTGTCCTATAAGTAAAACTTCTGGTTGAAACTCAGTACTTTAAACTTTGAAATCTATTTTTTTCTGGTCAACAATAGCCAGTAGCCTACATAACTGGAAAATTACATCATTTCAGAATAAGCAGAAACAAAACTAGTTAGTGGAAGTTTCAGCTTACCCTCAAAAGGGCTAACACAAGTACTAAAATTACCAACTTCAAATGCAGCCTTCTTTCTCTACAGTACTACGCATCACTTTTGATGTTTGAACTTAATTTTTAATAGTAGGTGTGTTAATACAGGAGCAGTTTTGAAATTTAGTAGCTGACACTAATCAGACTAGGGTTATTAGAAAAAATGCAAGATGACATTAAAGATCTTGATATAAGTAACATACTGACAGCTGACAAATTCAAGGAAAACACTCCAACATTAATGATTCAAAGGAGCATGGCAAAGACACCATTCATTTAAAGAACTGTCACACAGCAACAAGCACCCACTTCAACACAATTATGCCACACACTCCAGAAAAAGTGTCAGAAAAGTGGAAAACATCAGAAAAAATAAACAAAAGTAATCTGCTTTATGGAGCACTTGTACAGAGTAGTTTACAGTTCCAGTCTGTAATCTACTGTTGATAATTAAATTCAAAAAGCAATCCATTCAATGATTACTTTGTATCATACATGTGAGCTACAAATAAGAGTGCAGCTGTACTGGGTAGCACGGCTTCTGCCCGGAGTAAAATGAATGCACGGCCTTGAAAGCCAGAAAACACAGCCAACAGCGATCCACATCTACTGCGTACAATTGCATCACTGAATCAGAGTTTTATTAATGAGTACATTATTACTTATTGCTTACATCCAGTGACAGTAACCAATTACTTTAATATCTCTTTATTTTCCATTTCTTATCCTGTGTTTAGTGGCAGACTGATTTCTCATTCTTGGTCAACCCATCAGCAGTCCTCAATTCATGGCCAGCACTAGACTGTGATACTTTCATCATCCCAGCAGTTGCACAACAGCTCAAACAAAGAGGCACTTTACAATGGAACAGCTGCAGAAAGGAGCTGACCAGGACTGTTTTCATGCATAAGTACTATGTTATTGTGGGGGAAAAAAAGTGAAAATAGTCAATGGAGAAAGAAGAGAAAAATAATAAAGAATGGGAGGGGCGAGGAGGAGGGCAGGAAATACTGACTTGATCTACAATATATATTTCATTAGAATGCAGAAGAAATGCAAAACAGCAAAGACGTTAGAGATCAGAAATCACAGTCTTTAGAAGTACCTGAACTACAGATTCATGCCGAATTTGCTTCATATTAATAAAAATACATCATGGATGAGATGCACTAAAAACACTGTTTCTGGTTTGATGAAAAAAAGGAAACCCTATCTTCCTCAGTTCTTAGTATTTCCTAAAAATTTTGACAACAGTAGTCTCCTCCTTATTCAGCAACTTGAATGTCATAGAATAAACAGCTCAACACACTTAAAGCTAGCAACTCAAATATCTGAACCACTTCTAAGCCTAAAACTAGACATAAGTGAAGTAGCAGAATTTTGTTTTTACAAGTGTTTCTTACTTGTTCCAATGTGTCTTTGAATTCCGGTACAAGGATGGAAACATGATGGGTAAAATTTTTGCTGCATTATCACTAATTAAACTCATAATATATTCATTATTCCAGTAGTATAATGCTCGCTCTGCAACCTAAGATGACATGAAAAAAGGAAAACTTCAGACAACCTCTTATAAAGAGCAAATAATTGAAACATTTGACAGAATTAAGGGAAAGGTAAGATTAGATTTTGATTTTTCTAGTGCAAATGGAGCCATGGAGCTTATGGAAAATGCTACAGAAAAATTGCTTTTTTCCGTGATAGGGACATGATTCAAACTATAACCTATGAACTCTGAAGTTCAAGCAAAGAAATATTTTCCCAAAAAAAGAGTATTTGTAGAACTCTATTACAAGCAGTGAAATGCAAACACTATGCACTGGAAGGGTTTATGTACTTCTGAAAACAGTGAGCTTTTAAGTTTAGCGTAACATGAAGTGAATCACCCAATATGAATGCACATACCACCCTCTAGAAAAGAAACAATAAAGCTAAGATATGGATCCCTAAAATGTAACACAGAATTGAGTACTTTTTTCTGGCAACAAATAAAACCCATTGAATAATAGTAGGTACTACCATTAACAAGTCTGCTTTATAAAAATGCTCAGAGTACATTCAGTATGTACAGACCTGGAAGTGTGGACTGGACACACATTTGGCTAGCTGTCTGAAAAGAGGCTCCATAACTTTTACAAATTCAGATGGTTCAATAACATCTAAAATTTCTTCTAGTTCATTTAGAAACATGACTTCTTTTGGACTGTGAGTCTTTGGCCAGTATTTCAGCAGTGCCATTACCACCTGTACAGACAAAGTGAACATTATCTTCACAGTAATTTGACTTTATTGCACTAAATTTTATCTCATCAAGAAGTCTGATATTTTAAACACAACACAACTCGGATATCTTGTCCCATGTGACAGCAGTGATCAGATACGTTTATCGCAGAAATAATTGTTAATGTATCTAAAACCACTTCTTTGGAGAATGAAGTTATACACCTAGAAGACATGTTCAAAAATAATAATCAAAAGACGAGAGAGTGACCTGACCCCCAGCCTGGCATGACCAAAGTGCAAATTTGCTGTTACACTATGGGGAAAACTACCTACCTTTTAAGCAAAAGCAGCTTTAAATCTCTAATTTCTTGGAGCTGTACTCCAAAGCTTAAGAAATTAAGTTTTATGATTATATTTTAAGAAAGTATTTACTATTAATACCCGAATTGACAGATGACCAACAAACTCTAAACATGTTGCTCTTAAAGCTTCGAGTTTTATTTAACTGGCTAAATTACTATAATCACAGATTTGGCTTTCTTCATAACTATTATTTATCCAGCTTGCTGAAGCAGTTTTTGCCTAGCAAAACATGAATACTCAAAAGACAGATGGGTGGGATCCATAAAAATGTGATCTGAAGGAAGTTGTCTGCCGGTTAGCTCACAACTCTTCAAAAAGAGTCTATACGTCTGTGGGAAATGTTTCTCAAATCTAACTGAAAACCAACTACTGAATATGTAAGTCGAAGAATTTAAGCCTGAAAAGTGATACTAGCTTAGCAGTTAAAATGTATTTAGACATCATATTTATCAGTGTAGTTACTGATTACATCATAATTTATTCAAGAATCTTTGGAAATACACAAATGTGTTTGTTACGAAAGAATAATGATTTTTCTTTCCCCAAAGATTTTAGTTTTCAAACCAAAGTGTAAGATTTTATATTTTTTTTAACCATAAAACCTGTTTTCTACCTGTGGCAATTTAGTACCAAAGAATATTCAATTAGGAAGACAATTTCCTTCAAAGGATATTTAAATACTTTAAATTACTACAGCACTGAATTGTAAATTTAGATATTTTGATGAGTAATTAATGCATCCTTGAACATATAAATTTATAAATGCTTTTGTTTTGCAATTAAAGACTAAAAAGCCATATAAAGAACAAAAATACAACAGTGTCTGTCTAGGCCTAGATGCAGAAGTGGAGTCAAAATCCAGAACAGTACAGACTTCTGGAAAAACTCATTTATAAATAAAATGTATATTTTGTCTTTTTATATAGTTTAAGAGTTGCAATGATTCATTAGCCTTTCTCTCAGAGAACAATTTTTGCTCTCATTTAGAGAAAAAAAAAGTTTCTATTTTTGTTGTCTGCAATTTTTATAAAAGTCTACTTTTTGTATGAAAGCAGATACTATGTCCTTGGAAAATTTATGCAGATTTTTTCAATGAGATGTCAAAAAGTCTCATATGACATCGAGAAGGGAAAACAGAGTTTTTTTGTTAATAACCAGAATTTCTGAAGGACACCTTAGTACTTCAGTGATGCATATGCTAGATTTTTAAATAATTTTGTTGTTGTCCCATTTCTGGAAGCAAGCTAAGATTTCCAGATGTCATATAGCACAACGTCTGACATTTGATAACTTAACAAATGTTAAAATTTCCAAGTCAAAAGAGAGTTCATGCTCAGCTGCATACTCCATTTGTTTCAAGAATCCCAGTTCCCATTTTAAAATGGAAATGGTTATAATCTAATAATGTGCACTTTTGCTAATAACAATCATTGTACTGATTGCTACTTAGTGTTTAAACAAATTAGTTCTTACCTACTTCATATTGGGCTTAATGAGGCAAAGCACTATACACTACCAAGGACAATTAAAAGTATTCATCTATGCAATTACGTGCAGCCAGACTAACATCTGTTTTTGTCTATGGTCCAAACTTAATAGACATGAACAGGATCTAACTCATAAGCCTTGCATTAGTAGGTAGCTCCGTGTGCCAGAAATCTGTGTTCCATCATAACATCAGTCTCTCTATAGAGCACAGTTCAGGCAAGCTGATTTCTGACTAAACCACTTCCGCATTGACCATTTCATATCCAGACAGCCAGAACAAAATAAGCAGAATAAATTCTTCTCTGTTTGTAAAAGGTATGCTCTTAATGTTTGTTTTAATTCATTTTGACATTCAAACAACTGTTGGAAAAAACTGAATTTGACAGATCAGAATTATTAAGTATGTAACTCTTCCTAATAAAACAATTACATAGCAATATTTTGATCCTCAAACCCCCTTAAACAGTCTACAGATGAAAGGAATATTAATATTCCAAAACATATAATAATGGAAGATAAACTTACTGGTTCTGTAAGTGTGCTGTCCTTTTCTAAAAATTGAACTACACAGTATGCCAGCTACAGAAAGAGAGATATTTATTAATGCTCACTGTGAAACATAAGCCATGTTGAAATCACTAGCATAAGTGGAGAATGCTACTAATTCAAACAAAAACACAATGTTTTTTTCTGTAATTTTTTCAGAAATTATTTGGCAGACAATTTAAATAAAAGGGTAAATACATTTTACTAATTTTCCCCAACCTTCCCAAGTCTGTCCTCACCTTTTTCTGGGTTATAATAGAGGCAAACACATAATGTGATGTTTTCTTTTTAGATCTAGTACTTTGCATTTCAGCACACTTCATCTTTTCAAACAGAGGATTTAAAAATCACTATCTTGTCCTTTAAAGTGCTCTCCACTTGCTAACATTCTGGAATCCCATGCTGATTTAGTAAGTATTTTCTGTTTCATAACCTTAGTTAAAAATGCATTGAACAGACGTAAATGTTAGGGTTTTCTAGATATGAGAACTAATGCTAACTGTGTAACTCAACATAAAGCTGATACAAGCTGAGGTATTTACCAACTTCAATTCTGAGAATCAGACTGTCTATCCGTGCCTGTATGGTGAACTGTTACACATACCCCTTTAATTTAATAGGCCAGTGGTCCCAATGTAAATGGGAGGATCGCTGCTTAACCATTTTTCTCGTGTCTCCCAATTTATGGAAGTTCAGCTGATGAACCCAGTTGCTTTCTGGTGACTGCTACCAAGAACGTCCCCAGGTAATTTGAGGAATGTACAAAGATTACACTCTGTGTTCTCCATTATTTTACAATAAATTTGAACTGGATGCAGAAATTAACTTTCTTCACGTGTATCTGGATTTGGCAGGAAATCCTTCTGAATATCTGCCACTGTTTCAGCGTGGATTTCTGTGGTTTTATTTTGCTGTTTCACACACTAAGCTCACTCAAAATGCTTTCCTATTTCATTCAGTAGGACATGTAAGGGAGGCATTGCTCATTTCTTCTTCTTACTGATGGTAACGAGGAATGCAGATCACCTGAAGGTTTTGGAGAATTTGTGAATTAAAGGGAACAGATAGAGACCAATCCATCTCAGGCAAGTATTTTCTCTAATATTGTATGATTTCTCATTCTAGAAACTCTGAATGGAACTAAATTTAGCTCAGAAAACACACAGCTGGTTTATAAGCATGCTTCAACTCATATGCACCCTTTTTTTCCTGTTTACTTCTTAAAAACATCTATAGATATAAATCAGATGTCCCAGTAAATGTCTAATTCTTTTCAAGTTTTAAGAAACTGAATTCAGCTGAAATTCTCCATGTAGTTTAGAAAAAACCGTTTATAGGTGACAATCATTAAACCCATACTTTTCTGCAATCTTTGTATGTCTAAACATTACAGACAAGAACTAAATAAACAAAAAATTTTGTGTGTGGATATATGTCAAGAACTTTCACATTAATGAACTACTTCATGCATTTCATCTATAAACATTACAGTGCTTTTTTTAAAAAAAGGTATTTATTTATACACAAACCCTATTTTAAAGTAATCTTTTAAAGTAATTTGCCCCAACAAGTGAGGCATTATAGGTACATATATTAAGTAATTTCTCCAAGGCCACTTATCAGGGAAATGTTGGAGCTTAGAACAGAATTCGTATCAGTATGACTAGAGTACCCCTGTCCTCTCTAGGCAAACTTACTTTAACACTAGTATGAAAAGTGCTGAACAAAATTTACCTGTGGATGGTAGACACTGAGTGATTTCACTTTGTGCAATGGTAACAAAACCTTCAATAAGAATATTTTGTGCTCTTCTTTTAATGGTAAGGCAAATCCATTAATTATGCTGTCAGGAAAAGAAATTTAAAAACATAAGTCAGTAATTATACAAGAACTGCACTGCTGTACAGCATTAACATCAGTTAAAACATCGAGAATCCTATTGCCCATTTAATATTTTAAATTCTATTTTATTATTCTAATGCCTTTAAATAACAATGACAGAAGGCACCCAGGCAAAAGGAACCTACTATACTCCTCTTAAAAAAAAAAAAAACAACCCAAAACCAAACAAGCCAAAACCAGAACCTCACAGAACCATCAAAAGGTGCAATGTATTTCAGATCTCAAAAATCAGATGATGTCCCAGAATTAAAGCTTACTAAACACTTGCTTATCCTTGCTTTACATGTTTAATTTTCACTAGTAATGATTGCACAACTATTTTTGAGGACATGAATTATTCCTCCTGTAGTCTCCCAACGCATAATCTCAAAACCCCATTACTACATTAATGGTTTCTTGCCACAACCTCCACATATTCAACAAATACACATCAACTTCATTAAAAAACAAAAAAGTGTGTCTCCACGATGTTTTAAGAGCTGTTAAACCACAAATGAGCAAAACTGTGGGGCAAGTTTGGCCTTGACTGATCGTGAAGAAATTCTGCAGTCATGTCAAAAGATGACTGTCAGAAAAAAAAAACCAAAACCAACAAATAACTGCATTAGTAGTTCCTACTGGAATTGTTCATTTGTCCAGAATTATATAGCACTTAGCAAAGGAAAGGACATGAAATGCAGTACTTCAGCATGAAATTCAATTCCTCTATTTCTTACAAGTCAAAACTCAAGAACCCAAGTAAAAACTGTTACTCCTAAGCAGCTCCGTGTCAACAACATGCTGTGTTAAACTCCTTACTGGACTGGAAGAATAACCAATACAGAACAGTTACAGATCAAAACCCCTAATTTAACTACTGGAAGTTCTGATTTGGAAGCCTCAATGAAAAAAGAAAAAACAACCAAACAATCCCCGCCCCTCCCCCAAAATAAACCAACCCCCAAACCCAAACATAATGAACGACCTTAACTTTTAAATTTGTAACACTTAAAGCTACCCTAACAAAAATAAGAATGAAAAAGCTGGTTTTGAAGATTTAGCTCCATATTCTAGTATTTAAGCTTTATGTAGTCTTCAGCATATCCTGATGAGTATTACTTGATTATAGGATGTTGAGGTAATGGATGGATAAGTAACTCCTTTAATCATTGAACATTTCAATGAAAATTAAAGAACTATTCTGGGGAGACATGTAGACTTAGAAAACTTTAAAACATCTTCCCAATTTCAACAGCATTCTGGGCTGCATTTGGAACAGCATTGCCAGTAGGTTGAAGGAGGTGATTCTTCACCTCTGCTCAGCCCTGTTGAGACACAGCTGGAGTGCTGGGCCCAGTTATGGGCTCCCTAGAGCAAGAAGGATATGGATGTACTGGAGGGAGTCCAGTAAAGTGCCACAAAGATAATAAAAGGGCTGGAGCATCTAACATAACAAAGGAAGGCTGATAAATCTCTTTGGCCTGGAGAAGGGAAGCCTCAGGGGTATCTTATCCATGTGCACAAATACCGGAAGGGATGATGTGAGGCAGACTCAAGACTCTTCAGTGGTGCCCACTGAAAGGGCAAGAGCCAACTGGCATAGGAAATTTCATTCAAACATAGGCAAAAAAGCTTTTTAGTGTGTGAGCATGGTGAAACATAGGAACCCGCTGCCTAGAGGAGCAGGTGGGGGGAAGTCTTCATCCTTGGAGATGTCCAAAGCACAGCCAGACACAATGCTGAGCAACCTGCTCTCCTTGACACGTTGTTTTTATGTGCAAAGATATGGAAACACCATAAAGTAAACCTAACTAAGCTTTTAAAGTATATTAATGTATAGTAAAAAAACCCTAACCAAACAAACACAAAAACAACTCCCCAAAAAGCAACAACAAAAAAGATCAAAAGCAAACAAACAAAACAAAAAACCCCAAAAAACTAAAAAAGAAACCACACTTCCACATGGATTACATAAATCAGTAGATAAAAACCACTCTAGTTTTGATGGGGCTATCAGCTTTAAGTTGTAAAATTTTTAAGGGCTTTTGGATGCATCACTGAAATTTGCAAAATAATAAGATTAACAAAAGAAGATTTCTGAAGTTTCATGACCTGTGCTTCCTTGGCGTACCTGCTATGCATTTAGTGATGTTGCAAGAACATTTTAATAAATTTCAACTCACTACATTATTTGTATTTGCTTTACAACTAGTATTAATTACAGGGATCCTAAGCTAGGAAATAAGACTTAAAAAATAAGATTTAAAAAACTATCACATCCCAAAATGTTGCCACAAAGTTCAAGATTTTGCTGTGTTTCTGCAATCCTACACAAACCTTATACTCTTCATTACAGCTCTGACATGATGTGAAGCTATTTTAATCCTGTCTCAAACAAATCTGCAATTCCCAATTTGATTTTTAAAGTCTACTCTGAAGACCAAGCAAGTTTAATTGAACAAAACCTACAGCTTACCTTCCCAGTATTTCCAGTAATTCTGCTATGCCATTGTGATGTTCTGTTTCATAAATAAACCTAAATGAAAAGCTTTATTCAGTTACTGCTGAAGAGAGATACAAATCTAACATCAAGATCTCCATCTCACATTACACGTAGCCTTGGCCTCCCAGGTTTTAGTCACTCAGTAAAAAGCAAACAGGAAAACATAATGGAAAAGAAACTTTGTAGAAAGATAAATCAATAGTACATCAAGCTGCTTTCAGCCTGCTCTTTTTCTCCCACATTTAACAAAGCAGCATGCACTTGAGATTTTTCCAATACTCATATTCTATGGCATTTTAATAATGCAAAACTGAACACAGCAAACAATGCTTTAAATATTAAAATAACACAAGAGCATCTGGCATAATTAAATGCCATAACTCAACCTTCTATAGCACACGCAAGCACAAGGTGTTCAAACAGTTACTACTTATGGGTCTAAAAAGCTCTTTGCCATTAGACTTCTGTGCAAACAAAAGGCTCTGTAAAAAATAGAGGAAGTCAAATTTTTCCAAGTTTTCTGTTGACAGAGCACTGCAATTTACTAGGTGGTCACCCAGCCATCCTTCTTCCCAATTGCCTGAGTATAAATTCATTGAGAAAGTGCTATGCACAACCTTTTTTGCAAAGTTACAAAAATTTATGCTTAAGAGAAAGTAATTCTACTAGTCAGAAAATATTTTTAATTTGAAATTTGTTATAGGCAGACATATTAACAGCTACTTTTAAGCTAGAGTATTTGCTACAACTGTTTTTTCTCCTTAAAGACTCTTTCCATATAACCCAGTACAACAATTGCAAGAAAAACTAAAGACAATGATACAAAAAGCTTTGGACTGAATTAACAGGAGCATAAAGGTGTAATAATTAAAAAAAAAAAAAAAAAAAAAGTATTTTGCAATAGTAAAAATAGAGTAATGCACTATCAGGACCAAATTCTGGCAATTCTGGTCAGTGACTAAAAGACAAATAGAGACCACACATTTCTTAGGCAAGCACAATAAACTGACAACTTGCAGGTAAAAGTATAAGAAAGGGAAATATTTTGAAAAATTCTACACATACTTTAAGAGCTCTTAAAGAGCACAATCCACTAAGTCAAGAAGTTGAAACAACTTCCCTCTTTCATGCTCATGTCCACAAACATTAGCTTACGTTTGGATGCAAAATTTTTAAACTTCCAGCTTCTACATATTATACGATTAAGTGAGGGTTTCCTTTTAATTTTACCTCCATTACAACTTGGTAGAGAAAGGTAGTCTCTACAGTGCAAATCATATAATATCCAGTATACATTTCAGATTGAAAACATTTTTTATACAAGCTGATCTAATGACCAGAACATTTCTAGGTCCTTCAAAAGCCCTGTACCAGAATTATCTGTGTTTGAACACTTTGCTTCCATTATCCCTGAAAATAAAGTGCAAGGAGTGGCAAATAAAAACACTTTCCAGAAGTGAATTTTAAATATGCTGTGATGCTGTTGTACTATCTGGTTCAGATATTTTACAAAATTATGAATTTTGGAATTGGTCTAATAAAATCTGTATCTGGGGAAAAAACGTACATCTTTGTTTGAAAGATACACCTGTACTTTATCCTTTGGACATATTGGCTCTTGACATGTCCAGTCAGGAGCAGTTGTCAGCAAGACAGTGAAGGCTTACTAATTATGCTAAAGTAGCCCCTCTGTATCTCTTCTAAAGGCTTACTTGTTACCACAGGCAGGGAAGATAAGCTCCCTCTACAGCTGGTACTGCTGAGTGCCATTCATGAGATGGCACCGAGTATGTGGCAGCTTTTTGCTATTTTCTTAAAGGGTGAGCATCAAACATTAACTTGGGGATGAAAACAGCAGTGGTAGAGAAAAAGGAAAACATGATGGGAGGAGTATAAAACTGACACACAATATCATTATTTGTAGAGAAAAATACAAAATCTAAAACACTAAACTGAAGGCACCATAATTTTGCATTCACACTTAACATAATGCCAGTACAACACACACTTCTAAAGAGCTTTGGTAACACAGTGGATTAGTTTTTCATCTTCCCA